ATATTCAATTTTGGGTATATGACTTTCTTGCCGTGAAAGTTCGAGATCTTGCAAAACAAAACATGCCAGAAAAAATATACCGTGCCGTTGCACTTTTACTTTCAAATTCCATTTTTTTACAACTAGGTGCGTTCAGCACCAAATGAAAATCTCTAACCAAAGTGCACCCCTCCCTTCAAATTTTTACCTGTAACTCCTATATATCTCAAAGAAGCCTAAGTCTTGATATGAGATTTTTATCACCTTTATTTCACTTGTCAAATACATAACAAGTCTTTTCTCTTCATGACCAATCATGTGCCGTGTAGCATTTTCTTCTCCGCACAACTTTGGGTGTCCAAAATGTCTGCACCCATGTATAAGGTTATGTAGGTGTTTTCCCTATAGAGATATACAAAACACTTGTAAAAAGTGGTCAATTTAGTACATTTAGAACACATATCCATTGGTTATCTCACCTCATGAATATTGGGACTGACAGTCCTAGCTGAGGTACACCACTGGCTGTTACATTTCACACCCCAGTCAATCAGACCTTTACCTGTGAAATAGAAAAAACGTCTATAAATTGAAGCATTTTTCCACTTTTCTTCCAAAATTTTGAAATAAAATGATTAATCTAGCATATGTTTTGCTTGTTTTTCTTATTATCTCTCATAGTCTCTTAAGATAGATCATGTTAATCATTAAGGGTATCAGGTACCCGGTATAAATGAAAAAAATCAGCAGGTTTTTGTAAGAAAATGCTCAGTTATGGAAAGAGGAAAAGCTAATGTAGGTTAAATAATCAATGAAAAGAAAGAGAATTATGTTTGATTTAAAAGAACATTAGATTTTAAAAAAATTATATCAGGAATGGGTTGCTGGCATCAAAGAATCAAATACACCCTCACTGAAAAATTTTGTAATTCTGAAGGGGGTGACCTACATTTTAGCCATTGTTATAGGAAATTTCATGTAATAAATATTAAATATGTATATTCTCATGGAAGGCAAATATATTTATTTGCATATCATTTCTAATTATTTACATAATTATTAAATTGATTAAATGCCAAGGGCAGATAAATCATGTTGTCTGTCTGAATACAGGATTCAATTGTAAGCAAAATACTTAAATAACTGCAGTTCTGAGGAAGTTTATATTCTAACAATCTTTGAAAAGTTCTAAATAACTTAAATATTAAGAGATAAACTAGATTTGCTAAGAAAACCATACCTGGGAATCTTAATGAATGCAAAGTGTTCATCCTGGGAGTGTCCATATGTTGTTCATTGTAAGAGGGGAGGGTTCATTAAACTTCTCCTTCTTGATGATGCATAGCTGAAATACATTTTATTTTATTAAAACATACTGATACATGCATGTAGTAATTTATATTATAATTAATTATTATTTACGCCATCTTTTGAATTTTTTTAATAAGCATTTGTTATGTAATAGCTTAAAAATAATAATGTTTTAATAGAATTTACTCAGATAATAATAATAAAAAAAAAAATGCTCAAGAAATTTAAAAAAATTACTGCAGATAAGAATTAGTCTTGTTATTCAAATTTACTACATTAAAATTCTTTTCCTTCATTTTTTTGTATCATTAGAGCACAAATATACCCCCCCCCCCTTTTCTACAGCATATCAAGATGGGATCTGACAAGGGGGAGGGATATTTAGAAACACATTTCACCATTTTTTTCACCTATAATTTTGCATATTTCTTCCATTTTCAATGTATTTTCTTTTGCAATATATTGTACAGTAATTTTAATAAAATATCCTACCAGTAACCTCTCAGTTACACCAAAAGCACAACTTTTATTTCAAACCAGCACTAATGAGATGACTGAAATCTGCTTTGCAGCTGGATTAGGCCCCTTATGTCAAAAGAAAGTAAACTATTTAGTAAACAAAACAGTCAAATATTGTTAAGAATTATTCCATTAACTCTGATTAATACAAATTTGAAAGATGTTTAGTCAATCTATACCAATGTCTACACTCATAAAACACATGGATTTAAATGTATTTCTCAAGCTGCGAGGGGGATATTCATCTATTTTGTGTATTAATGATGCCAATAAATATCAATATTGTATTATTTACAACATTCCCAGTAAATTTCAGCATAAATATTCATTAAAAATATTTACATGTACATTCATTGCAAATGTGAGAGCTAGGGGCAAAATTTTGGCATTTTTGCACCATGTGGAGTCCCCATTTGGGGCCTCAGTTTACCCAAACCCTCTGATTTCTATACAGATAGTAAATATTAACCAAAGTGTAATCCCAATGCTTAAAATATAGGAATTGATTGATTTTCTGGCTGTAATCAATGTTTACCTATGCAATACATACCTACTCTATAGGACAAACACCACCAAATGTTTTCCCATAGACTTCCATACAAAGTTGAGCCCCTGTCACTGATTCATATATTCAATTTTGGGTATATGACTTTCTTGCCGTGAAAATTCGAGATCTTGCAAAACAAAACATGCCAGAAAAAATATACCGTGCCGTTGCACTTTTACTTTCAAATTCCATTTTTTTACAACTAGGTGCGTTCAGCACCAAATGAAAATCTCTAACCAAAGTGCACCCCTCCCTTCAAATTTTTACCTGTAACTCCTATATATCTCAAAGAAGCCTAAGTCTTGATATGAGATTTTTATCACCTTTATTTCACTTGTCAAATACATAACAAGTCTTTTCTCTTCATGACCAATCATGTGCCGTGTAGCATTTTCTTCTCCCCGCACAACTTTGGGTGTCCAAAATGTCTGCACCCATGTATAAGGTTATGTAGGTGTTTTCCCTATAGAGATATACAAAACACTTGTAAAAAGTGGTCAATTTAGTACATTTAGAACACATATCCATTGGTTATCTCACCTCATGAATATTGGGACTGACAGTCCTAGCTGAGGTACACCACTGGCTGTTACATTTCACACCCCAGTCAATCAGACCTATACCTGTGAAATAGAAAAAACGTCTATAAATTGAAGCATTTTTCCACTTTTCTTCCAAAATTTTGAAATAAAATGATTAATCTAGCATATGTTTTGCTTGTTTTTCTTATTATCTCTCATAGTCTCTTAAGATAGATCATGTTAATCATTAAGGGTATCAGGTACCCGGTATAAATGAAAAAAATCAGCAGGTTTTTGTAAGAAAATGCTCAGTTATGGAAAGAGGAAAAGCTAATGTAGGTTAAATAATCAATGAAAAGAAAGAGAATTATGTTTGATTTAAAAGAACATTAGATTTTAAAAAAATTATATCAGGAATGGGTTGCTGGCATCAAAGAATCAAATACACCCTCACTGAAAAATTTTGTAATTCTGAAGGGGGTGACCTACATTTTAGCCATTGTTATAGGAAATTTCATGTAATAAATATTAAATATGTATATTCTCATGGAAGGCAAATATATTTATTTGCATATCATTTCTAATTATTTACATAATTATTAAATTGATTAAATGCCAAGGGCAGATAAATCATGTTGTCTGTCTGAATACAGGATTCAATTGTAAGCAAAATACTTAAATAACTGCAGTTCTGAGGAAGTTTATATTCTAACAATCTTTGAAAAGTTCTAAATAACTTAAATATTAAGAGATTAACTAGATCTGCTAAGAAAACCATACCTGGGAATCTTAATGAATGCAAAGTGTTCATCCTGGGAGTGTCCATATGTTGTTCATTGTAAGAGGGGAGGGTTCATTAAACTTCTCCTTCTTGATGATGCATAGCTGAAATACATTTTATTTTATTAAAACATACTGATACATGCATGTAGTAATTTATATTATAATTAATTATTATTTACACCATCTTTTGAATTTTTTTTATAAGCATTTGTTATGTAATAGCTTAAAAATAATAATGTTTTAATAGAATTTACTCAGATAATAATAAAAAAAAAATGCTCAAGAAATTTAAAAAAATTACTGCAGATAAGAATTAGTCTTGTTATTCAAATTTACTACATTAAAATTCTTTTCCTTCATTTTTTAGTATCATTAGAGCACAAATATACCCCCCCCCCTTTTCTACAGCATATCAAGATGGGATCTGACAAGGGGGAGGGATATTTAGAAACACATTTCACCATTTTTTTCACCTATAATTTTGCATATTTCTTCCATTTTCAATGTATTTTCTTTTGCAATATATTGTACAGTAATTTTAATAAAATATCCTACCAGTAACCTCTCAGTTACACCAAAAGCACAACTTTTATTTCAAACCAGCACTAATGAGATGACTGAAATCTGCTTTGCAGCTGGATTAGGCCCCTTATGTCAAAAGAAAGTAAACTATTTAGTAAACAAAACAGTCAAATATTGTTAAGAATTATTCCATTAACTCTGATTAATACAAATTTGAAAGATGTTTAGTCAATCTATACCAATGTCTACACTCATAAAACACATGGATTTAAATGTATTTCTCAAGCTGCGAGGGGGATATTCATCTATTTTGTGTATTAATGATGCCAATAAATATCAATATTGTATTATTTACAACATTCCCAGTAAATTTCAGCATAAATATTCATTAAAAATATTTACATGTACATTCATTGCAAATGTGAGAGCTAGGGGCAAAATTTTGGCATTTTTGCACCATGTGGTGTCCCCATTTGGGGCCTCAGTTTACCCAAACCCTCTGATTTCTATACAGATAGTAAATATTAACCAAAGTGTAATCCCAATGCTTAAAATATAGGAATTGATTGATTTTCTGGCTGTAATCAATGTTTACCTATGCAATACATACCTACTCTATAGGACAAACACCACCAAATGTTTTCCCATAGACTTCCATACAAAGTTGAGCCCCTGTCACTGATTCATATATTCAATTTTGGGTATATGACTTTCTTGCCGTGAAAGTTCGAGATCTTGCAAAACAAAACATGCCAGAAAAAATATACCGTGCCTTTGCACTTTTACTTTCAAATTCCATTTTTTTACAACTAGGTGCGTTCAGCACCAAATGAAAATCTCTAACCAAAGTGCACCCCTCCCTTCAAACTTTTACCTGTAACTCCTATATATCTCAAAGAAGCCTAAGTCTTGATATGAGATTTTTATCACCTTTATTTCACTTGTCAAATACATAACAAGTCTTTTCTCTTCATGACCAATCATGTGCCGTGTAGCATTTTCTTCTCCGCACAACTTTGGGTGTCCAAAATGTCTGCACCCATGTATAAGGTTATGTAGGTGTTTTCCCTATAGAGATATACAAAACACTTGTAAAAAGTGGTCAATTTAGTACATTTAGAACACATATCCATTGGTTATCTCACCTCATGAATATTGGGACTGACAGTCCTAGCTGAGGTACACCACTGGCTGTTACATTTCACACCCCAGTCAATCAGACCTATACCTGTGAAATAGAAAAAACGTCTATAAATTGAAGCATTTTTCCACTTTTCTTCCAAAATTTTGAAATAAAATGATTAATCTAGCATATGTTTTGCTTGTTTTTCTTATTATCTCTCATAGTCTCTTAAGATAGATCATGTTAATCATTAAGGGTATCAGGTACCCGGTATAAATGAAAAAAATCAGCAGGTTTTTGTAAGAAAATGCTCAGTTATGGAAAGAGGAAAAGCTAATGTAGGTTAAATAATCAATGAAAAGAAAGAGAATTATGTTTGATTTAAAAGAACATTAGATTTTAAAAAAATTATATCAGGAATGGGTTGCTGGCATCAAAGAATCAAATACACCCTCACTGAAAAATTTTGTAATTCTGAAGGGGGTGACCTACATTTTAGCCATTGTTATAGGAAATTTCATGTAATAAATATTAAATATGTATATTCTCATGGAAGGCAAATATATTTATTTGCATATCATTTCTAATTATTTACATAATTATTAAATTGATTAAATGCCAAGGGCAGATAAATCATGTTGTCTGTCTGAATACAGGATTCAATTGTAAGCAAAATACTTAAATAACTGCAGTTCTGAGGAAGTTTATATTCTAACAATCTTTGAAAAGTTCTAAATAACTTAAATATTAAGAGATAAACTAGATTTGCTAAGAAAACCATACCTTGGAATCTTAATGAATGCAAAGTGTTCATCCTGGGAGTGTCCATATGTTGTTCATTGTAAGAGGGGAGGGTTCATTAAACTTCTCCTTCTTGATGATGCATAGCTGAAATACATTTTATTTTATTAAAACATACTGATACATGCATGTAGTAATTTATATTATAATTAATTATTATTTACACCATCTTTTGAATTTTTTTTATAAGCATTTGTTATGTAATAGCTTAAAAATAATAATGTTTTAATAGAATTTACTCAGATAATAATAATAAAAAAAAATGCTCAAGAAATTTAAAAAAATTACTGCAGATAAGAATTAGTCTTGTTATTCAAATTTACTACATTAAAATTCTTTTCCTTCATTTTTTTGTATCATTAGAGCACAAATATACCCCCCCCCCTTTTCTACAGCATATCAAGATGGGATCTGACAAGGGGGAGGGATATTTAGAAACACATTTCACCATTTTTTTCACCTATAATTTTGCATATTTCTTCCATTTTCAATGTATTTTCTTTTGCAATATATTGTACAGTAATTTTAATAAAATATCCTACCAGTAACCTCTCAGTTACACCAAAAGCACAACTTTTATTTCAAACCAGCACTAATGAGATGACTGAAATCTGCTTTGCAGCTGGATTAGGCCCCTTATGTCAAAAGAAAGTAAACTATTTAGTAAACAAAACAGTCAAATATTGTTAAGAATTATTCCATTAACTCTGATTAATACAAATTTGAAAGATGTTTAGTCAATCTATACCAATGTCTACACTCATAAAACACATGGATTTAAATGTATTTCTCAAGCTGCGAGGGGGATATTCATCTATTTTGTGTATTAATGATGCCAATAAATATCAATATTGTATTATTTACAACATTCCCAGTAAATTTCAGCATAAATATTCATTAAAAATATTTACATGTACATTCATTGCAAATGTGAGAGCTAGGGGCAAAATTTTGGCATTTTTGCACCATGTGGAGTCCCCATTTGGGGCCTCAGTTTACCCAAACCCTCTGATTTCTATACAGATAGTAAATATTAACCAAAGTGTAATCCCAATGCTTAAAATATAGGAATTGATTGATTTTCTGGCTGTAATCAATGTTTACCTATGCAATACATACCTACTCTATAGGACAAACACCACCAAATGTTTTCCCATAGACTTCCATACAAAGTTGAGCCCCTGTCACTGATTCATATATTCAATTTTGGGTATATGACTTTCTTGCCGTGAAAGTTCGAGATCTTGCAAAACAAAACATGCCAGAAAAAATATACCGTGCCGTTGCACTTTTACTTTCAAATTCCATTTTTTTACAACTAGGTGCGTTCAGCACCAAATGAAAATCTCTAACCAAAGTGCACCCCTCCCTTCAAACTTTTACCTGTAACTCCTATATATCTCAAAGAAGCCTAAGTCTTGATATGAGATTTTTATCACCTTTATTTCACTTGTCAAATACATAACAAGTCTTTTCTCTTAATGACCAATCATGTGCCGTGTAGCATTTTCTTCTCCCCGCACAACTTTGGGTGTCCAAAATGTCTGCACCCATGTATAAGGTTATGTAGGTGTTTTTCCCTTACTGCCACTCTACTTTCACTTTGACCTTGAACTTTACTGAATACCGATTCCGTCCTCATTTGTGAATTTTTGTGTATTGAAAATAAACAATAGTGGTGGATGTACTTCTAAAATAAGTCTTCTTTTTTCTAAATATTTATTAATGGCTCTGAATTCATAAATTGTATAAAATCGATACATTTAATTTATGCTACATGTACATGTGTACACAATGGAAGATATGAGCATAAGCTGTCTGTTCCTAAGGGGGGGGGGGCGCTATTAACAAATCAATTTGTTTCCAAATATGTATAAACAAATTACTGGTGTTATAATACATAAAATAATTCTGCTGATCTTATTGATAAATTACATCTGCCAAGCTTTTTTGCAAGGGAACATACTCCTTATCATTAAGTATGAGGCTCAGTTTAATACGTATGTACATTATCACATTTTTTTTATTCAGTTCTGCAAATTAAGGAACTATATATTTTCGTCCGTCGTCTTGTTTTAACATTTGAATATTTTCAGCTTCTTCTCTGGAATCACTGAGAACCAATATGTATTACTATTACGTACAACTGTGCTTCGGTTGACAATGGTTTTCCTGCGAATCCCGATGAATATTTTCAATGTTACCCTCAACTACATGCAATATGTATTAGTTGAATTTGACTCATTAGCCTCAAATCCTTGCAGTTCCTATAATAATTTATTATACCTCTGTAAATTTTTATGCCCGCTTCGAAGAAGGGAGTGCGTATTGATTTGCTGCTGTCTGTCGGTCCAAAAACAGATTCCGTTCATTTTCTTCGCAGAGGTTGCACATACTGTAATGAAATTTTGTATACAGATTTATCATAAGAATATCTAGGTCAAGTTCTGTTTTGGGTATCATGAGCAATTTTGGACAGAGTTATGCCCCTTGGACTTAGAAAAATTCCAATTATTTGGGGAAGGGGAACATAAGTGTTTCACAAACATCTTTTGTTTCTATATAATAATATGACAAATAAACCTACTAACCCCACCGTGGAAAAGTTTTTGTGCTATATGCCCATGGTGAAGTAGTCATCAAACTATTCACCGGCAGCATTCCGTTTCCCTCGCTTTTCATCTCAGAACTCATTTGCTTTTATCCGGATCGTGACGTCCCACGTCAAGTAAAGTCGGCTTCGGTATAATAAAACACCTACTTACTGACTATTGGGACACTATCATGTTTATCGGCGGCGCCTTGGGAAATAATTGCTGGCTTTGGAAATGATAAAGGTGCTACTGTCCTTATAGCCAGTAAATAGGTGTATAAGGCCAAAAAAAAATAATAACCCTGTTTTCTGCTACCCGACAGACCCTATTTTTTTGCGCCCGACCCTAAAGTTTTTGTTTGAGTTTTGGAAGAGAAAAAGTCGGGAATTCCCGGAATTTCATCGTTCTGTCACTGTAGTCGGTTTCCGTGTTAACACAAAACAAGCATTTCATGAAATTCTCTGTTTTAGATATGGACTTTCATAAAATACCACTCGAGTTATGCATCAAAAGACATGAATATAATTTTAAAAGACAATATTGACCTGTGACATGTTTAATTAGATCTTGTATTAGTTCATATCCCAAAAATGCAGTCGGAAAAAAATAAAAAAAAAAATTCCTACCTACCTACCCTAATTTTTTCAGGCTCGTAGCAGGAAACAAGACTATTATTTTCTTTGGCCTAATATACACTCAAGATTAAAAATGAATAGAATTTCTAGTAACTTTTAGTTAAAGCTGTATAAAGTGAGCACTCTCCAAATGACAATTACACTCTGCTGCCATTTATAAATTATAATAATTTAAAGGTCTAGCAAACCTATACGATAAACACCCTCCATTTTCTCCCTATGTGGAGGGATAGGAGGGGAGAGGTCAAGGTAATGAAGGTAGTCTAATTACGGATTCGAATCATTCCGTGTATCGGTTTGGGATTTTGATAAACCGTCTTAGGTTTATACGTATACCTTATACATATAATTCGTAAAATTTGAATATAAAATATAAATCCAAAAAGACAGTTTTAATCGATCCTCCGTTATCTTTCCCTATCAACTTTACGGAGAATTCTTATATCCGGGTTTTGGTTTGGGTGGGTTGAAGGATTATTTGTTGGTTTATTCTCTATATATCAATTATATACCCCCTTCCTCTAATCCGCATGGATCATCCGTTACCGACAAGTTTTGTCTTCAGTTATTAGTACAAATGACAGGTGCTTGAGTTTAGTGCCATTAATATTCAGTTGAAAAATAAAGATATTGTATGATGATATAGAATGAAAGGTAAATAATATTTTGCTTATGTATGACTTTAAACCTTTTAATGTTTTTTTAAATGTTTAAATTTCATAATTTCAGGTAAACACCATAACTTTTCACCAGAAGTCAGATGTCTACTGTACTGCTTACTGTTAACTGAGAAATATCAACTGAATCTCAATGAACAATCACACAGAATCATAAGGGACAAAATCAAAGACAGATATTTTCCTGATATCACTGATGATGACTCTATGGATCCTCCTGATGGAATCACAGAAACACATAACCGTGTGATGACCTTTATATCAGACGACTTCCGACATGACGTCATGTACGCCTTTGTGACGGAGTGTTTGGTGGAGGACAGTGATCTGGAGTTTTTCCTGACCACGGCGTCACGTGATGTGATATCAGAGTACTGCAGGTCCTGGTGGTATAAGAGGAGTGAGGGAGAGAGATGTCTGTATATACCAAACGAGCCGGAGAAGATGTACGAGCTCTTCATAGACAAACTACAGTTGGACATCATCACACACTGTACCATGTCTGACGTGTTGATTTATGACAGTATCAGTAAACGTTGTGAGTATCATTTCTCTATCATGTCAAATGTAATGCATCTATGTTTGAGTACAAGCAATCAGTATAATTCAATGTCATATTTATACACAGAATGTGTAACTAAATTATTTAAATTATTTTGAAACAGTTATATATATATATATATATATATATATATATATATATATATATATATATATATATATATATATATATATATATATATATATATTTTAAAATCATATCAACTTAAATTGCATAATGTATATATCAGAATTCTCAGAAAAAAGAATAATATAATCACAATTTTTTCCAACAAGTTATTTTTTTAATTTTTAGTATTGTATATTTTTCAAACTCCAGAGAGAATATATAATACTAGCTATAATAAATAACTGTAAATATAAAAAAGTTCTTTATGAGGTTAAACGAACCTTTCTTTCAAATCAACACCTCCTTTCAATATTATGTATGGGAAATCAAGCTTCATCTCTGACACACTTGAGGAAACTTAATTAAGACTTCTTACCCTTTCCTACAAATACCTATTTCATGTGGAGATTAAGGTAGAATATGGAAGGGAATTACCACCAAAAGTCTATTTATCTTGCTTTTATTCTTATTCTGCCTACTTCTTTATTCTTTGTTATTATTGTAACTATATGTCACTTTATTGTTTTCATATTCGTCTTTATTACATTTCACTTTGAACTTTTTTCATTCTTCATTTTGTCCTTACTTCTATGTTGCTTTATTCTTGTAAATTCGTTCTTCTTTCTTTTAAATTGATACAGTTTCTTTAATAAATAATTATGATCATCTCTATTACAAATGTAAATTCAGTCACGCAAACCATGAAGCGCATTCAACGAAGACGAATACAAGTAGTGTGAATTTAATGCGGCATTATAACGCTAGGTGGCAGGGTGTTCGCTGCGAGTGTTGGTAAAATTAGGTACGCAAACCCGGGCGAGGTTATTCGACATTTTTCTGCCTTTATACTTTATCAATCGAACCCAAATTTCTTTATTTCAGGATAATAACTGTTCATGCGCAGTCACTTGATTCTGGGAACTGCAGGGCTGGTCTGGTTTCGGCCAACCCATAATGCTCTGCAAAGTAGTGCGGAACGTCATGGGTAGGCGTGGCCGGAACCAGGCTAGACCGGGGCATACTAGAAATAACTTTTGATTGGTTGGAGCTATGGTTTTCATATTTCACATGTGTATTCCTTGTGATAAGACCTTTCTTTTTGTACCACCATATTTGACCTTTTGTCCTTGACCTTGGAGTTTGACCCAGTTTTGCAAAATTTTACCCAACTTTAACATTGACCCTAACTTTTCAACAGTTAGCACTAAGGCTTTCATACTTCACATATGTAATCCTTTTCACAAGGTCTTTATTTGGATTCCAATAACTTTGACCCTTTGACCTTGACCTTGGAGTTTGACCTACTTTTAAAAAACTTTAACCTTGGCCATAACTTTTCAGCAGCTGGTGCTAGGGCTTTCATACTTGTCACGAGACCTTCTTTTGGATACCTACAATTTTGACCTTGACCTCGGAGTTTGACCTACTTTTTGAAAACTCTTACCTTGGCCGTAACTTTTTGTACAATTGGTGCTAGGGCTTTCATACTTCACATATGTAATCCTTGTGACAAGACCTTCCTTTGGATACCAACAACTTTGACCCTTTGACCTTGACCTCGGATTTTGACCTACTTTTGGAAAACTTTAACCTTGGCCATAATAGTTGATGCTAGGACTTTCATTCTTCACATGTGTTATCCTTGTGACAAAACCTTCCTTTAGATACCAACTTGTTTTTTATGCCCCCGTATCGAAGATTCGGGGGTATATAGTTTTTGCCCTGTCTGTCCGTCTGTTTGTCCGCAAAAACCTGTCATCCTAGTAGTCGGCTACATCCCAGGATACAGTACCATTTAACACAGTGGTTTGTCTTGTGTGTCAGAAATTATACAAAAGTACAGTGTACTGCGTATAAAGTGACTTAAATCTTCATATTCAATATACCTAATGTACATATATTAATTTTAA